ATTTCTTTGTTTTTGTTCAGCTCCTGCTTTAGGTTATCCAAAAATTCCCCAAGGAAACCTTTTCTCCCTCCACTCTTGTCCCCCGACATATACCTCACCTGAAGAAGAGGAGGCTGAGGCACAACAAAACATTAGATTTATGAGATTTAAAACAGAAAGACACATTTATGGCACTCTTACAATCATAACAGTAGAATGTCTTAGAGAAACTATTTCCCATTTGGGGTTTTTAATGGGGTTACAGCTGTAAACTTTCATTAACTTTCCTGGGATTACATGAGAGAAATCAAGGAAGAAAAGTTCATAATCAAGATGTGGAGATAAAATTAAATACTCCCTCAACCAATTTTTTTTTTCTGTTTTTGATTAAAATTAAAAGTTCTTAGTCTTGAAGTTATTTTTTTTTGCTTTTTTTTCTGATGTGTGAACCTGTATGTTTCCGTTTGTCTTTTTGTTTTGCCACTTACTGAATTTCCCCACAAAGGGTCAGTAAAGAATAAGCAGAACATTAAGTGGTGTGAGAAAATATTTGTCTCTTTCTATTTTGCATATTTTTTCACACTTGTTTAAGAACAAGTTTAAAAATTGGTCAAAAACAACACACGTAAAAAAAAAAATGTAGATTTGTTTTAAATTAAGGTTTCTGGATTTGGTTTAAAGAAAAACAAATTCAAACCTACAAGGTCCTGAATGAGTAATTGAACTATCCTTGTTATAACACAACTCTACTTTCTCTCACCTGGGTTTATTTACTTTAGCCAGAGCTGTTCTAAACCATAAAATCACCTATAAAGGATGTGTCTGACAGTGAAAAATGAAGTTCACCAAAAAGATCCTAAAAAAGCCTGAGATCCAAAGAAATTCAGGAACAGATATAGAAAGAATAGAAAGCCCTATAGATCTACATGTCTGGAAAGGTTTATAAAGCCATACTTAAAGCTTTGGGAATCTAGTAAACCTCAGGGAGACCTATTGTTCACAATTGGAGAAAACAGTGGAGAAAGCAGTGAACCTTCCTAGGAGTTTTCAGCTGGCCGAAATCATCCCAAGAACAAAACAGTAATTCATCAAGATCACAAAAGACCCAAACTGAGATCATCTCAGTTAAAGACAGTGTTCATGCCTCCACTATAAGAAGGAGAATGGCCTCCATGGCTGAGTTCAAAGGCCAAAACCACTGCTGAGCCAAAATAACATTAAAGTTAGTCTCATTTTATTTTTGGTAAAATATTCTTTGGAGTTATGACACAAATAATGGTCCTTTAAAAAACTGTGTAATTACATCCAGTGCAAAAAGTGACACAATTAAAAAATATATATTATTAATTTTTGGTGGTGTTATGGTTTGGGGATGTTTTGATGCTTCAAAACCTGAGGGGTGTTAAATAAAGAGACAGATCAATTAATGAATGAGGTGTTTTTGACTCTGTTTTAATCCGTGGCCAGGTATGCACCTCACCACTAGTGTTACTAACCATTTTTAAGTTACTTTAAAGTGGAAAAAATAAGTTATTTCATCAACTACAGTGTTTTTTTTTCCAAGCAACATTCTTGACTAAAGTCTGACTAAATCTAAATTAAAAGCAGTTTATGAAACTATGTCTAAACTCTTCAGACCTATAGATTTAAAGAAAAAAACCCAATCCATATTGATTTAATTTAAAGACTATTGGCTAAGGTTGTCAAAGTTGACACTGTTAAAATGTTGAAATTTAATTAGGATATTTTCTAAAAACAATTTATCTAATATAAAAGGTGATGCATTTAATCTATCAGTAATGACCTGCTATCCCTTTTCTCCGACAGGCTTCTACCAGAACTGCTCCTCTGAGAAGGTGAAATAAGGACATGATGACATTTTACCATGGTTTGTCAATGGACTCCATGAACACCGATTAGTTGAACCCGACTTGCATTTGTGACATTAAGGAAGCGAGGCATTCCTTTGGCAGACATCCCAAGTCTCCCTGAAGTTCCGGGAGTCTCCCTGATATAGATAGTTGTTCACAGATGCCCGCGAGTTGGATAAATTATCCCGGATTTTAGACTATGTGAGGTGGGGTTTTTTCAATGCGAGTGAGAGCGAGCAGGCAGTACAATAATTCGTGCATCATGTGTGGATTAGAACTACTTTGAGTGCGCAGACAACAAGAGAGAGCGGGGTGTGAGGAGGAGGTTGCCTTTGAAACCTGTGCAGCGTATCTGTCCAAAGTGATGCTCTGTTCAACCAGCGTTCCAGGTGACTGGTTGTCAGAGAGCTGATTGGATCAGTCCAATAATTTTCTCTGGTTACTCTCTGGCAGTCACCTAGTTACCACTTAAAGCTGTGCATCCTGGGAAACGGCAGAGGATCAATCCTCTAAATATAGGACTAATTTTACAGCAGAATGTACTAAAGTATATCCATGTCTAGTGAAGGGGAGGAACAGTGGTGGATCTAGACCAAATGTACCAGGGGGCCTGAAGGGGGCCAGCGTGTTTTCATGGGGGCACAAAAAAGCATGTATTAAAATTCAGGGCAAGGTATTCACATATATTAAGAGAGCTGCATGTAGTGAAATTACTTTTCAATTAAGTTCAATAGAAATTCTATTTCTTATGAGGTTGAAATACATTTAAAATTTAGGCATTTTACATATTTTTTGACTTAATTTAAGTTAAAACTACTGTTTTCTATAAATTTGAATTAGAAGTCAAGAAAAACTGCTAAGTTCATCTGTAAAAATTTGAGCATTTTCTTTTATTTATTGTGGAAGAAAAAAACATTTAACATTTAAAAAACATTTAACTCAATCCCACTGAAGCTATCACCTTATTGTTTTTGAATAATTTGTAAAACAGAATTTGTAATGAAAAGAATGGAATAAATCCAAAGGAGCTATCAGTAGTGATGTCTGTTCCAGCGCATATCTTTATTAGAATTTCTTTTAAGTAATATGTCTTCAGTACAGGGGCCGTAACAGGGACCAGGACATGATCTAGACACTGGCCCCCGTTGGCTCCTGTCTAGAACCAGCCATGGTGAGGAATGATGACACAGTGACGAGGTGCACTGCATGCAGAAGTCCCATGAAAAACAGGAAAAGCACAACTGATGGTCAAGGCTACAAGATTGAAATTATTGAAAATAAAAGACTAATACTGTTCTGTTTTGTGTTTAAGAAATGACTGTTAGTTAATAACAGTTGTTGAAAAGCTGCTGGCCTTAAGTGTGTACGTATGGGGCAGGGTGCAGATCCGTTGTCCCCGGGTGGCGGGGGGATAAGTATCTCCTTGAAATTAGTTTTTGGAACTTGGGATGTCTGCTTTGGTGAAACCCAATAATTGTAGCTTGAGATGTGCCTCACTTGGGTCAGGATACGGAGCCCGAGTCTGGCTTTTCTGAATGATTCTTGTGGAACACGCTTTGTGATAAATGGAAACACAGATTCTGCTGTCTGACAAAATATCCTGAAGGAGGATATCTGGACATCTCTGTGTCCTAAATCTGGGTTTTGCAGCAGGACATTGATCTGAAATGGGAACTTAGGAGTGGCCTAGTCCAAGTCCTAACCCCAAACTCCACTGAAATGCTGTGGAACAACCTTAAATAGGCCACTTCATGCTCAGAAACCCACCAGTGTGGTTCAGTTAAATCTGAAAATATGTGTGGGGCTAAATTCCTTCAATGCTCTGCAAGATTTATTGCAAACACTTGATTGTAGTCGTTGCTGTTGCTTGAAAAACCAGTTATCAGCTTTAGGGGCAATAACTTTTATTCCGTGTTAAACATAGGTTTTCCTATTTTCCTTATAAATAAAAATATTTACAAACTGCATTTTCTGTTTAACTTAAATTTTTTTTACTTGTTGAATGTCCTGAAACATGCAGATAGATCCTAAAAGGGGGCATCCATTTTCTCACACGACAGTACATGGAAATACTATTACCATTTAAAAGCTTCTCACTCCAGAAAGAAATCACATGTGGTACTAGTACCTGTGGAAACCTCGAGAGTCCACATGTCCTGTAAACATGGGTTCTGTTCGGTAACAGCAGGTGAGAGGAAGGGAAGGCAACCAAGCCTCTTCTGACACATATCTGAAGACACACAAAAAGGTCCTGGACTTGGTAAATATGAGGATTAGAACATTTGTAAGAACACATAGAATAGAAAAACATTTCACCTATAAAATCCCTCTTTGCCTTAATTAATTTTTGTTTCGTTCAGGCAAATATAGTCCAAGAAATGCAGCTTTTCTCGATGACAGCTAACACACAGTTAGCAATGCTACATTAAACTAGTCGGTTAAACAAAGTCATGTTGTTCAACGTCGACCATATTTACGAAACTACTTAAACATATATTCCGCCTCTATTGTCATTTTATATTACCTGCATGTGGAGTATTAACAAAGTCCGAGGAACTCACCTGATAACACTGACACAAGGGAGCCGCCATCTTGGATACCGTGCCTGTCATTACTTCCGGTGTCGTCAGACCAGCATACTCAATGCGCATGCGCTAGTCCCGTTTATCCCTCTTGTTTGGTACGAAAAAGCACTTTAAACTAACTCAACGGGCGAGTATCCCTTTAGTTATGTACAAAAAAAAAAGTTAAAACGCCAAAAATGAAGTAATTTGTTTTTTGTAGATGACTAAAGGGATCCACACCTGTTAAGGTAATTTAAGGTGTATTTTTCATACAAAAGTTAAGGGATAAATGGGTATTGGCTATAGGTATGCTGATCTGGCAGAACACCAGCAGTAAACATCATTAAAGTAACAAGGTCCTCCTCATTGAGAGCCACCTTCCTTTAAAAGCCATTTATAACTGTATTATAAACTAACCAGACCGTGAGACCTTGATATAAGCTGCATTCTTCTCTGTATTAGCTTTTTTATTTTATTTTTTTTAAATAATCAGTGTGATATTGTATTCAATTCAAGATAAATATATTCATTCAGAAGCTTTAGGTTGCATCTATGATCCTGTTGAAAACAAAAGACCCTAAACCCATTTATACATCTTTGAGATTTATTTAGCAAAACACCTCACAGTTCAAAGGCAATGACAGGGGATGCATGACAGAAAAAAAATTAAAAGTTTGGTCACTAAAAAGTACAATAACCAAAAACTAAAAACACATTCATTGCTATAATTTGCTAACTAAAAAGGTGAAACTAAAACATGAAATTCTACAAACATGTCCTAAACAAAGTATACTGGAAAGACAAATCTGATAATGCAGATCGTTTTAAACATCATGGACTAAATCTGATGCAACACAGACATGTGAATTAAGCATTCCTATCAATCCTAACGTCGATTTCTCTTCCGTTCAGGCGATAGCCGTTCATGGTTCTGCAGGCGCGCTCAGCAGTTTCGGGGTTGTCAAAACGGACCATACCACAGCCCTTGGATTTTCCATTTTCCATTTTAATATCAGCATACTGAACCATACCTGTACAAAGACAAAGTAGAAGAGAGGTTTATAAAAATGTTGGTAGTATTAAATGTTCAATTTCCTTCTGGGGGAAAAAAAATAAATAAAATCTTACCACATGTATTAAAGGTATCCTTCAGCATTTTCCAAGTGAAATCAAAAGGCAGCTGAAAAAAAAAAAAAAAAAAAAAAAAAAAATGATTAAGTATAAACTTCAGGCAATTTTTTCTTAAACTAAGAACATTTCAGCAAACTTACATTTCTAACAAAGATCTGGCATCCCTTCCTCATGTTTGCTCCACCACTTCCGGGTCCTCCGGCTCCAGCTGCTCCAAAGGAATTCCCACCAAATCCACGATCCATATCTCCGGAGCGGTCAAACTGACCGCCAACACTGCCAGATCCCATGCGCTCCATGCCAGTGCCCATACGGTCAAGGCCACCAGAAGAGAAACGGTCCAGTCCTCCGGCAGATCCCATGCGATCGAAGCTGCTTCCCATCCTGTCGAGCCCGGTGTTGCCCATGCGATCCATACCCATGGAGGAGCCAAAGTCCATGCTGCTCCCCATGCGATCCAAACTAGATGGGCCAAGTCGATCAAATCCTCCAGGGCCGAGGCGGTCCATGCTTGATGACATACGGTCAAGGCCCGGTCCAAGCCTGTCCATCCCTGGCCCAAGGCGGTCCATCCCAGAGCCGATGCGGTCAAAGCCGGACCCCATCCTGTCCAGGTCAGACACACGATCAACCCGCTCCATGCCCATCCGATCCATTCCTCCCATCCGGTCCAAGCTGCCTCCTAGCCGGTCCATTCCAGAGCTCATGCGGTCCATCCCAAGGGAATTTCCTGCAGAGAGTAAAAAGACAGCACGACATGGTCAACTGAGCTCCAGAAAGTTGTTTTTTTCTTTGTTTTTTTACAGGGTCTTTGGGACAATCCAGTAAGTACTGACCCATTCCTCTTTCAAAGGAGTCTCCAAAATTATTGCGAGACATCCCCATTTCATTTCGCCCAAATTCCCTGTCAATAGCACCACCAATCCCACGGTCCACCTCTGATAATGCAAGAGATGAAACCATTAGAAACATCCAGCAAGACGTGAAGACTACCACGCCTGCTTAGGAGTGTTTAGGGAGTCCCTACCAAAAACTCACCATTCATTCTGCCCATTCCAGAGGAACCGAACCGATCCATGTTCATTCCGCCAAAGTTGTCCATTCCTGAAGACATAAAAAAATGCATTAACAACAAATCTGTTGTTCAAATTTAAGAGCAGATGCCAACTAAAAACTTACCTCCTCCCATGCGACCGCCCACATTGCCAAATCCCATGTTGTCCATTCCTGAAGGAGAGAAAAGCATTTGTAAGTCCACAGTTTCACTAGTCTTAATGCTGAAACAAACCAAAAACAGATTTTGTTACCTCCGGGGCCCATGTTTCCCATCCCACCAACGTTGCCGCCGCCTCTGTTGAGCATGGTAGCATCAATAGGCTGACCACCGGGACCCAGGCCCAAACCAATACCACTCAGTCCACCTGGTTTCAGGGTTAGAAGAGAAAAGCTTTAAACTTCTGTCTGCAAAAACTTGTATTTTCCAAGAGCTATTTGGGCCAAAATCTAATTTCCAAAAATATGTACGAACCTTAATTGGAAAAGCAATTTTTTTTTCCAGAAACACGAATAATATTCAACCACAGGGATTTTTTGCTCTTATTGCTTAAGTGATTTAATCCACAATTTTATTATAAAGGCAGTAACTAATAATAATGTGTTCAAAATGTACTCACGGGGAAGAGAGGACCCTCTATCTGGTTGTCCGAAATCTTTGGGGAGGGATTTCTCATCCTGAAATAGACATCACATTTCAAAATAATGCTCAGCATTGCAATAAAAGTGATCTGTTACAAAAGGTTTATCAATATACCAGCTTGACGTGCATGGTCCTGTTAAACAGGAGCTGCCCGTTGAACATAGCTGTAGGATAATTAAGGAAACACAGGAAACGCAAGAAAACAATGAACAGTAACAGAAGGAATAATGTGCATTCATTATGAAAAAGGATACAGACAGCTTGGACTGCCTCAATGGGCATTTCAAACGTCACAGTGCCCATTCCTCTGCTTTTCCCATCCCTGTCCTCCAATATGTCCGACCTCACGACAACACCTGCCATGCCGAATACCTCTTTCAGCTTCTTCCATCCCACTTTGTAATCCAGCTGCAACAACAGAGATCAGTTAGTAAAACTAAGACTGTATCCAGTCCTTTATTTTACATTCCAAAAGGTACTGTTTTTAAAGTGTTTTAATCTGAATAGTACAATTTTTATTTTATGTTAGTTTCAGTTAGTGAAGAAACTCTGAATGACTCACATTGGCTACAAATACAGTGCTTCCAATCCTGCCAGTCTGAAGACCATGAATGATCTCATTGGGGATGTTGGGGTTGTTCAACAGGCTGGGAGGGATGTTGACCATCGGGCCTCCTGATCCAGGTCCCATGCGATCCATGCCCCCCATTCCTCCCATACCCCCCATACCGCCCATTCCTCCCATGCCCCCCATTCCTCCATGGCCTCCTGGGTGACCTCCCTGTTGAGACTTGCTTATCTCTCTTTGAGCAATGACACCATCAGGGTCCTAAACAAACAAAATAAACATCACTCAAGTGTTAACTTTCTAGACCCTAGCTCTACAGAACAGCTCCAAGTTTTGTTTCTCCTACTTTTCCCCGCAGCTTACCTCCTTGACTTTAAGAGGACGGCCATTGAAGTTGTACTTGTTGACAGTTTCCACCGCCTTCCTCATAAGTTCTTCCGTCCTGAACTCAACAACACTGCAGAGAACATTTTACATGAGAATTGCTGGGTGCTGCATTCTATTACCAATAGAAACAAACGAGATAAATTGAGTACTCACGCACAACCCTTTTGATTGAAGTCATCAGAACAGGCAATACAGAGTAAAAAAAAATTAAGAAAAGAAATTAGAGATGATGGTATTTAACTGAATGTTTAAATGAAATGTAGAAAATAGAAACATGCACAAACCAAAGTCAAATACAGAAAAGGCTTATAGTTTTGGCAAACGCTACGTAAATTAGACAATTTTCCCCAAACCAGTCGGCGACCAAGCAGGTATAGCAAAAAAAAAATCAGTTTCGCTTCTCAAAACATCCAAAAGGGGAGAAACTCCACAAAACAATAGGTTTCCACACCAGTAAAACATTATTAAAGGACATCTTTTCCAATGAAGAGGTTTGAGTGATTACAATTAACAAAACCATCTAACAGCTTTGTAACAACAGCCTACCGAGTTAACCCCTTAAGGTCGTAAGGAGCAAATCCAGAAACCAAAAGGGAAATTATCAGCTAATTCAATCCACTGGACTGAATACAAGTAATGCTATTTTAAAAGCATCAACCCTTCAGAATGGCCTCAAATCAGTGGCACAGACGACTCCACCTAAAACACGCCTCAGTTTACCATCTCAATGACTCCACCGCGTTACAATTCGAGACCATTTCCAGCAATATAGCTAACGAAACCAAGGCTGACAAACACATGTTTGTCTACGTTTAATCGTGTATTTTGATTGTATGTATTTGCACTTACCCTCGATTTGCCTTCTGCGTCCATTAAGTGATCCACGTACGTTACATCACCCACTACAAATCAGATTCCAGAGACGACACACACCAAGGGGAGAGAAGCCGAGAGAACAATGGGGGTTTAGAGCAGAAACAAGGAGGAAGGCCGATGACACTGAGCTCTGACTGCCAGAGTCTTGAGCTGTCCCCCAGCACCTCAGCAGCACAATATGGTACAGGTCTACAAAAACAAGCTTTGATCTCTTAACAAAAACATGTTGTAAGACTTCTTAGTCTGTCCTTGTTAGAATTCTCCAGAAACAACAAAAGCAATAGACCGAGGCAACCAACTGTTGAAATGACCAACAGCCTTCTGATTTGGCGAAAACATTGTAGACCACCTTCTCCATGTCATTTATGACCCATAAAATTTCAGGTTGAAATTAAATCCCATACAAATCCTTAGCCTATTTCAGGGCAAACCTAGTGGTACTTTGTCGAATGGTGCCATCTTAAACCTTGAGCTAAAGCATCAAGACATCCCCATCAGCTGAGCTTAAATCTACAACTACAAAAATACCGACTTCTTAATCTCGACAAATTCTTGGAAAAAGGATTCCTGTTTATATGGTTCAGAACTGCATAAAAAATAAAATAAAAAAAGAGGGGGAACTTAATAAAAAAATATCCACTTCCAAATCGACAGTGACCGCTGCTGGGGTCCCAGGTCACATTTCTGTTCAATAAATGGACGTCCGTGACCAAAAACCTCGAAACAAGGACAGTGCAATAAGAAGCAGCTTTGTTTTGTAGACCTGTACCCCACAGAAATCCCCAGCAAAAAGCTGTGTGTGGCACAACATGGAGATCTGCTGAGAAAACATTTGCTTGTCAAGGTCACACCTAAAAAAGAAAATGCAATTTAACTCAACAGTTGACACAAAACGAACACTTGGCCCTCCTAGCCCAAAAAAACTGTTCCCTTAGTATCACATTCTTTAGCGTAACAATTCATTGCAGGGCTAATGACACATATGATCAAACTGGTGTTCCATGACTATTCAACTCTTCATGCAAATAAAAGCTAAAGTCATCTTTGCAGAATTCAAATTTGCAGCACGTGCCTACGTAGAACTGGACATTTCCAACATTTTATACATATTCAACATATACGGATGGTAACATACTCCAACTGATAGTAAGATATTCCTTGCATCAAAACATGAGTCTTGCTTCCTTTTTGTTCAGTCACTTCTTCTGGTTAAACCTCTTTGTGCCAGTCAGGATCCCAATCCATGGGATTTTCTCATTGGTCAACTTAATTTAATAAGTACAACCTCCACAAACACCTCAAAGGAAACGGTGGTGATTGCATTTTCCATCCAGGTTCACAGCACAAGTTTGGTGCAACTCAGTCTATGATGCTGTTCCAAATGCCTCCCAAAAATCTGAAGTGCCACTCCAAGACAGAAGTGATATGGTCAAAAACAATTGACCCTGGATGCAGATTCTTTGGGGGGGAAAACAACCTAGAAATAGACAATTACATCTTACCAAAACACCTTACCTTTCTCTTTCATTAGGTCTTTGAGGGCTTGCCATTTCACGTCGTAGGGGATGTTGCTGACAAACACTCGGTATCTCTTGTTCAAGTTGCCATAAGGTTCAAAGCGACCACCTCCACCTCTCTTAGGGGGTCTCTCCTTCCTGCTGGAACTGGACCCATTCTTGGGTTTTCCGTTGATTTCTCTGAAACAGTAAGGATTGGGAAAAACAATAAGAATAATAGTTCAAAAGCAACAATCTGCTTTATTACTTCGAATCAATTTTAGAGATAGTTATTATGAATGAAAATATGTTAAGTAAAAAATGTTAAAATATGTTAAACAAAAAAGAAAACACTATCATAATATGTTGTTTATCCCAAAAATAATGAAGTGATTTAAGGCTAATCTGCACGACTACGCTATAACCACATGGCGAGGCCCTCACCAGTAGGCCTAAAAACAACTAAAACGAACAAATATCTCAAATTTCAATCGGATTTTCATTCCCTTGCATCGCATTGCGATACCACCATAATTAATACGATCGAGTATCTGTGCTAAATACGTATTCTGAAATAATAACTCGACTTAGATAGCGCCAGCAAATAGACGGATCCCATATCGCCATCATATCTGGTAGATTCAGTCTAAAAATAAATAACATTAATCCAACTTGTCGATTTGAGAACAATTGGCGTGTATGCATTTTCACCTAAAACGTTCTTATTTTTGGTTATAATTGAATATAAATGCAACATAAGTGCATGTTTAAAAAAAAAAAAACACTAGGCCAATCTAGCTACAACAAAGGAAGCGTCTATGAAGTGACTCACTCCTGCTGTTGCTGCTGCTCGGTAGTTGTCTCGGTATTGTTGTCACCCTGCTCGCTCGACATTTTGATGCGCTGATGAAGGTTTTAGCAAACCTGAATTTGTTAAGGAAAAATCAAGAAAGCTGGTATTACCAGACAGAGAAACTGTACGGTAAAAGCACAGAGAACTGTTGGCTTTTAGGAAAATGGCGGAGCAGACGCGGGGGAGGGGCCAATTTTGAAAATTCTGCCAATGCTTCCGGTGTTTTCTTTTCATATTAAAACTACTACTACTCAAAAGAAGGATTTCAAAATAAGTGCACAGTCCATTTAAAATCCGATACGGTAGGCAGTGGTATGCACTTTAAAGCCATGGTTCCAATCTGCCATTCAAATTATTAATTATTGGTCTACCTTTCATGTTAACTTAAAATTGGTTATGGTTATAAAACTGTCAAAAAAAAAAACAAAATACAGTTTTGTAATTAAAATAGTTTTTATACAACCTTTGTGGTGTTATGGGTAAGAAAACCTGACCTTTTTTTGTTTTTTCAAAATATGTTATTTTATTATGTATTAGCAACAAAATCTAGGTGTGTTTAAAACTAAAAACTAAAATCATCCAACAGACAAATAGAATGCTTTTATGCTTACAAAAAAAAAGGTGCTTAAAGGTGGCCATCAATTGTGTTGTATAAGTGATTTACATTTGGTTGAATTTTTTATAAATGGACAATAGATGTGATCAGGGGAGGATCTAGGATTCTAGGAGATCAGGTGCTTAGCCCCGAGGGTGAAGATGAGCGTGTAGACTTTCTGCTAAATCCCGTTCTAATGTAAAATATGACAGATTACTGGATTAAAGAAATTTCTAGTATACTACATACTATCACACATAAAAATTCCAGCTCCATAACATGGGAAGAAATTCATATAACTGCAAGTCTTAACTGTGTTTATTTCTCACTTCAACAACAAGCTCTGTGGAGACATTTGATCATTATTTGCCAAAGTTATGAAGGGGAAATCATATATTTTAGCCACCTGATATAATCTGCTCCCCCATAACATGGGAAAAATTAAACAAATCCTGTAAATTTTGAAACTGTCATTATTTTTCTATATTATGTTTGAAACATTTATTATTTTATATTTTGAAATCTTAAATAGTTAATAAAAATATGTCAATTCTCAATTCAAAATGTCTGGAATAGCATTACTTCAGACATTTTGAATTGAGAAAGCTCTCTGGATGGAAAACGAAACATCTTCAAACTTGGAAAACTTGGAAATCCAGCTGTTTTGGTTTGAACTTTTCTTTTGAAATATATTTGTAAATTGTTAGATAAACATTTAAACAGAAAAGAAATTTCATAAAGATCATCAAAGGGGAAACGGATTATATCAGGTGGCTAAAATATACGATTTCCCTCTCATAACTTTGGCAAATAATGATTTAATGTCACCAAATCCACAGGATTTGTTGTTGATGATGAGAGGAATACACACAGTTAAAGATTTGTAGGTGAATTAATTCCTTCCCATGTTATGGAGGAGGAACGGAATATTCCAGGCAGCTGAAATATCCATTCTCTCCTCTCCTCCTCCCATATGTTTAGGAAATAAACAGCAACTGTTTCCAAATTCTCAAAAAATTTTATGTTTGATAGCATGTAGTATACTAGAAATTTCTTTAATCCAGTAATCTGTCATATTTTACATTAGAACGGGATTTACCAGAAAGTCTACTCTCTCATCTTTTCTGGAAATCTTAATTTTTGTGTCCTGCTATCAGCCAGTTTCCGTCCTCTTATACTGTATCAGCAGTGAAAAATAATAAATACTTCTGACTTTTATTTCTGTCAGGCTTAACTGACAGAAGTTGGAAAAAGACAGATTCTCTTGGCGTTTAAAAAATAACACAAAACAGCTTAAAAGGACCTCGTCTATTTATTTATTTTACAATTTTATCGACAACAGCTGCTGATTAAACTGGATGTTACAACATTGACATGAATGAAAATGGTCCCATCCGCCATGTTCGCCTCTCTGGCTTCAATGCCCGCTCCCGACACAAGGGGAACAGAATTTTATACAACTCCAGGACAAAGAACGTCTGGAAGTCAGTCAGAGCTTCACATACCTGGGGGACATCAGTCTGTTTAGCAACAGCTAGTGGGGACTTCTTCTGCACAGGAATGCTACAGGCTGCTTTCCTGCACATGCGGTCACTCTCTGGTGAATTCCAGTACTGCACATTTATGGAGAGATATTTGTGCCATCGGTTTGAGCGCGCAGGAACCAATCCGAGCGCGCAGTGAGACAACACGCGCGCGCGCAAAACCGGTCCGGCGCGCGCTCAACTCTGAAAAACCCTCTCAACACAGCTGCGTGAAGCTGACACCCCACCCACGTCAAAAAACTCTGCAAATAGACTGAATGGTTAGTGCAACGTTAGTGCAGATTTGTGCAGAAAAAAATATCGTTTGTGCTACTTTTGTTTAAGAGATATTAAAGATTATTTTTTAGGTCATCCAGAGGTCACCATCCCCCCATTAAACTCCAATTTGAACCAAAGTGGTCTCGTTTTTTAGTGCTTCGTTTGTGCTGATTTGTGCAGTTAAAACGGTCATTTGTGCTATTTTACTTTTAAAGATATAATCATTTTAATTTTTGGCTGATGACGTCACCATCCCCCCATCAAGCTCCGATTTGATCCAAAGTGGTCTCATTTTTTAGTGCTTCGTTTGTGCTGATTTGTGCAGTTAAAACAAACATTTGTGCTGCTTTACTTTTTAAGATATAATCATTTTAATTTTTTGGCTGATGACGTCACCATCCCCCCATCAAGCTCCGATTTGATCCAAAGTGGTCTCATTTTTTAGTGCTTCGTTTGTGCTGATTTGTGCAGTTAAAACGGTCATTTGTGCTGCTTTACTTTTTAAGATATAATTATTTTAATT